CCAAATTTTAATAATGCTAAAAATTTTCTATTTAATAAAATATAATTACCCTCCAGTTAAGCATTCTTGAAATCTTTGCTTAAATGAAGAATTTAAAGCTATTGTTTTATTTTCTTGTTCAATCATAATATGCAACTTCTGTAATTTGTCCAAAGCTTCTTCAAATTTCCTAATTATTTTTAATAGCGAAAACTTTATTAAATTCAACGAGTATAAATGGGTAAAACATAAAAAATTAGTGTACATACGACAATGATTCTTTGTCATTTTTAATCCATTGCCTTAAATCGGCTTTACTCATAATTTGAGTAGAAAATAGCAAAGACATTACCAATTGTCTTGCTAATGATGGAAGGAGTCTATTATGGCAAGTGCAATCTTTTGTTAGACAAGAAAATTCTATTATTATAGACATTACTAAAAAATATAAAATCGAAAATTCGTATTATTCCAATAAATATATAATCTAACACGCGTTTATTAAAAGAATCCCAAAACAGCATAATGCACTCACATTTTAACTACATGTGTCTAAAGTGAATATGAAATAATCTAGCTAATAGTAGTCTTCAGGTGTAACTAGCTCGGACTATGTTATATTAACAAATGGTAAATCATTTGAACATTAAATATATATATATATTTTTTCTTTTTATTTTTATTTTTTTATTTCCCAAATCTTGATCTAGAAAACCGCTATATAACACTAAGTTAAGCTATTACTCGACTTTACTAAAGATCGTACCCAAAACTACTAAAAACAAACCTGAATATGGCCAAGCATGTTGCTGGCTCTTCGTATAACTTGTCGAGGGTAGACTTCTGTAAAGCTTCAAGATATTCGTATATGTTCGTTTTAAAATGTGCCACGACCACAGTTGGCATCGCAAAAGCTTTTATTTTACTCATTAAAATTTGTAGGAAATTCTATTTATAAATTCTCTGGTAACACAAACGCAATATTATTAGTAGTTTTGTTAAATTCTTAACACAACATGGATTCATCCACTTTTTCTTCTGATAGCAGTTGTTATAATCTAAGGCCGCAACCTGCCACCTCCCATGTGCGATCGCATTACAAAAAACGAATATCATATTTCCATAATAAAGAGATCGGAAACTTTCAGTTTGGAGTATGTCATTGTATAAGAAGTACGGTCAAACTCCTTTGTTATCACGCCTTAGATTTGAATACAAAAGTTGAACGTGATTGCTACGAAGATTAAGAATTCTCCTTGGGAGTTTGTTTCATAGTAATGGTTGTTAACATTGGGTACCGATACTAGTTAGGTTGATAACAATGGGATTTGGTTGTGCTCTGTTTAGTGTTGAAGTTTCTTTTTTGATTATTCATGCTGTTGTATTATAGGTTCAACATCCGATGAAACCACTGCGTTTATCTTACACCAATGATTTAGTATGTGCTTATCGATTACATGAAAAAATGCGAGTTTTTTGCCCCCCGAAAGCTACCGATCATGATTTGATGGAATTTCATATTCCCAGTTATATAACGTTTTTAAAAAAGTAACCGATTTTAGAGTTGCATTTTAATAAATATCAATGGTTAATCACTTGTAATTCTAAATTTATATTATTCATCAAATGCAGTGTTACCCCGGAAAATAGTGAGCAATATTCCTTTGACGCAGATAGATTTAACATCAGTGAAGATTGTCCAATATTTAGAGGAATGTACGATTTTTGCCAAATTTATGCTGGTGCATCGGTGGCTGCGGCTTTACGATTGACGAGTGAAGATACTGACATATGTATTAATTGGAGTGGTGGATTACATCATGCCAAGCACAATGAGGCATCAGGGTTTTGCTTTGTAAACGACATTGTATTGGCTATTCAACAGTTGTTGAGGTTGGTCGTGGTAATTTAATTATATGAGGATTATGTTAGTCAATATAATACTCGATCTAATAATCATTTTTCAAGGGTTTTTCCACGGGTTTTATACATTGATATTGACATACATCACGGTGATGGCGTACAAGAAGCATTTTACGAAACAGATCGATGTATGACTGTATCATTTCATAAGTATAAAGAAAATGGCAAATATTTTCCAGGGACTGGAGGTCTAGGTGAGATTGGAGTTGGATTAGGAAAAAGGTTTTGCTTAAATGTACCACTCAAAGATGGAATGGATGACGAAAGTTATGTCGCTTTATTTAAGGATATTATTACGGATGTTAAAGATCGATATCAACCAAATGCAGTTGTCCTACAATCTGGGGCAGATTCACTTGGAAAGGATAAATTAGGGGGATTCAATCTTAGCATTAAAGCACATGGAGAATGTGTTCGTTTTGTAAAAAATTGGCAAATACCTTTACTAGTTCTTGGAGGAGGAGGATATAAAATCGAAAATGTGGCACGATGCTGGGCTTACGAGACGAGCATACTAGTTGATACAGAAGTACCGGAATCACTGCCAAAACATGCACAATTTTATAATTTTTTTGGGCCAGATTATTCATTGCATCCACCTCTTGTTAGACGAATCGAAAACCAGAATACTAAAGCGGATTTACAAAAATTGTCACAACATATCCACGAACGTTTGAGATTATTGGATGGAGCACCAAGTGTGCAGTTACATGAATTTTCTAAAGATTTGCAAGAATTGTGGGAAGAATCTGAAGAAGAAATGAGAGATTATCAAGAAGATGCGATTCCAGATGTTAGACCTAGACGACGTTTAATGTTGGGCGAAAATGAATTTTATGATAGAGGTAGCGATCACGAAAATGATGACCAACTAGTAGATGAAGATCAGACTATGGACTATGTTGTAGATAACGAATCATACTAATGTGATTTTATACATGATACTTGGCATGTACAGTAGTTATTGCAATTAAAGGATAATTTTTAAAAAATTGATAATTAATTTAATTAATAAAATTTACTAATTAAAAAAGTTATTTCTACTAGTTTTATTAAATAGATTTGAAATTTTTTAATTATTGTCACGGATTATCGTGAAATCGGATTATCGTGAAATTTGAATCTATTTTATGTACGATTTTTAAAAATTTTTAGGGCCTTTTTT